GCAGGAGCGGAGGGTCAGGAAAGAGCAACCACTACTCGGCCCCTAGAAGCAGTTAGCTGGACGCTCTGAGCACCGGGCGAGGCCACTGCTGTGGGCCCCTGTTCGGCAGGAGGCGCCTGTGACAGCCGCTGTGGGGGGCAGGCACCCCTGAGCCGGCATGAGCCCGCCAGGAACGACCCTCCGCTGTCTCCTGGGGGCAGCTGACCGTGGTGCCCACCTGGTCAGAGCCAAAGGGCAGAGATCCAGTTCGGGCCAGGGGCCCAGACCAAGCCAGTTAGACCAAGGGAAGCTGGATGGGCCAGGCAGCTGTCGGCTTCCTGGGCACAGAGTCAGCACCGAGAATCCAATGGCTTCATGGTTTATTGTGGGGGAGCAGAGAACTGGACACGACCCCAATCCCAGGACAAAGAGGGCCCCTTGGACGAGAAGGTCCATTAAAGGCAGGGGACAGGGGGGTGGGGGGGGCTGGCGCCTGGCCACAGGGAAGCCCCTGGGCAGCTCTGCATTCAGGGGCGTGACCCAGAGAAAAGGGGTCAACGGGGGGTCACCAGCGAGCATCAGAGTGTCGCCCGCCCACCAAGGACAAGAGGGAGGGGACGGGGCCTGGATGGAGACTGAGGAAGAGGCCCTTCCTGGCTTGGGACCCCCGGGGGACTTGGACAGCCTGGGGGAGGAGCCCCGAGGCGGGAGGGGGGCGGTGGGTCTGGGTCCGGGTCTGCTCCCAGAGCCCGCCGGCTGTCACCGTCACCGGGAGGCCTTTCTGGCCCCGCAGCTGGGGCCCGAGGCTTTGGCGAGGGTCTCCTTGAGCTCGCTGCCGCAGCTGCCTTTGGCCTTGACTTCCGCCGCCACCGCGGGCTTGCAGCTGTAGCCGCTCGAGGCGCCAAAGCCCACGCTGAAGCCAGCCCCTCCCGGGCCCGCGCTGGTGTTGCTGACGACGGCTGCAAGGGGCGAGAGAAGACCTGGCCCACCGCCCTCCTGGGTGCCCAGCCTGTCCTTAGCTCTCGGCCCCGGGGTGGCTGCAGGGAGACACTGTCTCTGGGGTGCATTTTTAGTGCACCGAGAGGGCTTCATCTGGAGTCATCATTTTTCATGCTCTTGGCCCCAAACAGCTGGTCTTTCCCTCACTATTTCGTGCCCACCTATCAGTGTCCGCCTCTGAGCTCTGGGGCCCATCAGCGGCCCTCCCCACCGGCTGCATCAAATGAAGAGAGGCCCTGAGGGAGGCCTCTGGCCGCCCTGCCTCTCTAACACAGCTCCCGCCCGGCTGTCTCCAGCTACAGTCTGGGGAAGCTCATTTCTGACTGCTGCCTCATTCAGTCTTTTAGCAAATCCCCCCCCCCCTTACTGAAACCAAGCGCCTTTCTTTGGGTTTGGCCTAAACAGGAGTAGAATGTGGCCACGAAGCCTCATTCTTACAGTCGACTTTGGGGTATAAGATGTTGGGCATCATCTGAGCTCGTGCTTGTATATTCGGGACATGGTGGCTTCTCATCAAGGATGGCTAAAGCCAGCTTCTCTCTGTGCCCTAGGTGACCCCTGCACCACTCTGTTGTTCTGAGATTCTGAGTCCTTTTCTCTGTCATGGAAACAGGGACTCGGGTGTCTGGCAAATGGCCTAGGACAGCCCATGTCCTGCAGAGACTTACAGATGCTGACGGAATTTGGATATTCACCGGCCATCCTGGAGGGGAAGAAGCAAGCAGATTAAACCTCAGTAAAGCGTCACCCCATATTCAGGAGTCCCCTCTGGAACCAGGCTCTCCACCCAGATGTGCCCCTCACTCCATCCCATCTCCCGAATTCCCGAACACGGGGAGAAATGGAGAACTAAGGTGAAAACCCTGCTGGAAGGAGCCAGCTCTCTGTCCAGTGGGCCTGGGGCTGTGGGGTCATCGTGTCCCGCCCCCCAGGGCCATGCCACCGGTCTGGGACAAGTAAGAGGCCTGAACTCTGGTCCTCCCTGGGCCGTGGACCAGGTCACCCCTGGAGTCCTCTGCCGCCTCCCCTTGAGGATGGCCAGGGAGGCTGTTTCCCAGACGGTGCTGGTGTCCCACTGCCTCCTTGAGGCTTTTCCAACTCGGCTCTTCTTGCCGTCAAACTGTGTCCTCCCTGCCACAGCATATCAGACCCACTCGCTGTGGTCTCTCCTCCGCGGGGCCCAACAGCCAAACCTGCAGAACTCCCTGACACGCGCCGTCACCCCCACCTGCTCTCCTCGCCCTCCAGCAGCTTGCGGTAGGTGGCGATCTCCATGTCCAGGGCCAGCTTCACGCTCATCAGCTCCTGATGCTCCCTCAGCATCCGGCCCAGCTCCTCCTTGCTCAGGTGCAGGGCGGCCTCCAGCCCGTCCAGCTTGGCCCGGGCGTCCTTCAGGGCACAGTCCCCCCGCTGCTCGGCGTCGGCGATGGCCGTCTCCAGGCTGGAGCACTGGGGGGCGAGAGGGCACGGGCCAGAGTCAGGCTGCCCGGGCAGCCTCCCTCGGTTCCGGCCGGCGGGAGACTCGGTGTTGCTCCTGGCTTCTCCACCTTAGGCTCCGGCACAGTCCCCCAAGCTCACGCCTACGCATGGACGGTGGCACCTCCTTATCTTGGGGGAGAGAGCAGGAGGGCACAGAGGAGGTAGGCTCCTTGGTCACCTCGCCCTGCTCTCTCCCTCCTGGTCTGACATCAGCTGTGAGATCCCAAGGCCAGGCCTGAAAACAGTCCCTGGTAGCTGGCTGTCATTCCGCCCCATAGTCTAAAAGTTGTGTGTGTGGCTCTGTGAGTCCTAGAAAAGAAACTGAGGACGAACAGAGTTTCTAATAAAACCTGCATGCAGTACTTCTGCCACCCCGGAGTGTGGTCCCCAAGCTGCATGCAGAAGCAGTGCCGTCTGGTACCAACCAGCCTTGGGAGGTTCCCTGCACAGCTGACAGGACTGGCCAGCTTGCAAGCATCTGGATTAGCAGAGGGAGCTGCAGGTCAGCTCCAGACTGTCCCCATGGAAGCTGCCCCGGGGTCGTGGGGGGTCCTCAAACCCCAGTGCAGGGGTGGGGGGTGTCCTGGTTACTCAACTGCAGTTTTGCTGGGACCTGAATACCTGGCTTCTCTTCCAGGGGCGCCCCTCTGGAGTCAAACTGGCTCCACACCAAAGAGGGCAGCTGGCCCTGAGGCCAGGCGGAATTCTACACTGTGAGCACTGGAGGGTCCCTCCTCCGCCAGGAAGGCCCCCACCCCACACCAGCAGGCAGGCCGTCAAGATGTTTTGGGCGAGAGGCTCACAGCCCCCGCAGAGACTCCTGGGACCCGGCTGCTTGAGGCCCATCTTGGGGCTGCAGGGGTCTGAATACTCAGGGGGTGGCAAGGAGCAGCAGCCTGGTCTCGTGAGTGTGCTATGAGTGGACGGGACATGCAAGGCGCTGGAACGCGAGGATTCTGGGGCCGTGGAGGGCCTAGGCATCTGCTTTGAAATGTGGGTTTCTTTGGTGGAAGAAGCCAAGACGTCAGGAGGGCACCTTGGCTGAGGGTCCTCGAGGACCCGCGAGGGGGACAAAGAAAAGTGATCCCCACTAGTTCCTCACAGAGCACATCTCCCCTGGCCCCGAAGCCCAGTGGTGTTCTGATGGTAAAAGCCACTTTCTGGTGACCCCCTCACCCAACCATGAAGGTGGGGCATTGTGCCAGGTGTGACCCCCTCACCCAACCAGGTAACCTCGTGATCAGATATAGCACCTTGCTTTTCTTTGAGTTCTGCATAATTTAATTAAATAAAGCACCATGAATGCTTAATGGTCTTTCTTCTTTACAGAGCAGAGGAAGAGAGAGAGAGTGTGTGTGTGTGTGTTTGTGTGTGTGTGTGCAAGGGAGGGTGGGCAGGGAGAGGGGGTGACCGGCCTGCCTGGGAGGTGGGCTGCACTGGACCTGGGGAGCGTCCTGGTGAAGGAGCCAGTGGGCCTGTGGCTTCGGGGCAGGCATGTGCGAGATGGAGGAGCCGCCCACCCCGAGGTGGAGGCCTGTGCTGGGCACAGGCCGGACACCCCTGGTAGAGGAGGGGCGCGAAGCTAGGCAGTACTGTGAGGTACCGTAGGAAAAGGGGAGCTGTTTGGAGGCTTCACATGGTGACTCCATTTTGGAGGAGGCGGGTCCAGCAGTGGACTTGAGGGAAGAGCGGAGAAAGACCCCCACCCCGCTCCAGGCCAGGGCTCTGCTGTGGGTTTGCCCTCCCTGTGGTCTGGGGCCACTGCCCTGGGCTCCCCCACCTGCATCATGGAAGCCACAGTTGGGGCTCCCTAGCTAGCAAACGCTGGAGTACCCCGTAGCTGCGGCCTCACAGCACTGACCACTGTCCACGAGAGGGGTCAGCGTCCTTCCACGTAGATCCACAATGCCCTATGGAGGAGCTGCTTACCTGGTTCCAAATCATAAACCTGCCAGCGGGGTCCTCCCGCCGAGCCCACCCCGAGCCCACCTGCTTCTTCATGTTCCCGGCTCCAAGCCCACCTGCGGGCTCCTCCCCAAGCCCACCTGCTTCTTCACATTCCCGGTCTCTGAGCGGACCCTCTGGATGAGCCGGTTGAGCTCCGAGATCTCCGCCTTGGTGAGTTTGAGGTCATCCCCGTGGCGGCCGGCGGTGAGCTGCAGCTCCTGGATCTGAGAAGGGGGTGAGAGGCACACGGGGAAGCTGAGAGCTCACCTCTGAGGGTGTCTGGCCCTGGGGGCGGGGGGCTCTGCGCCATTCTCCTTGTCTCACTGTCCACGCAGGCAGGCCAAGCAAAGGGAGGGGCGGGGCAGGGGGAGGAAAGACAACCCTTCCCTTCTGCCCAGTTCCAGGGCCCCAGGTTCACAAATGTGACACGTCGGGGGAGTCTGAATGTCCTTGTCCTCATTCACGAGGTTGGAAGCAAGACGGTGCGTGGGCGAGCCGCAGTGTCCGGGCTTTGCAGGGCCGTGGAGCCGGGGTCCGCGGTCGGCGAGGCCTGGGGTGGGCGCTCAAGGCCCCCGGGGTACGTGACGTGTCTTAGGCTGTGTTTGAGCTGCCTGGGCCACAAGCCAAGCCCGGGATGAGGGAGGTCTCTGTCCAGTGCCAACACACACGCACGCACACACACGCACACACACGCACACCCGGCCCACCCGCGCACCTTGCTCTGGTACAGCGCCTCGGCCTCGGCCTTGCTCTTCAGGGCGATGTCCTCGTACTGGGCGCGGACCTCGGCGATGATGCCGTCCAGGTCCAGGTCCCGGTTGTTGTCCATGGACAGGATGACAGACGTGTCGCTGATGTGGGACTGGAGCTGAGCGATCTCCTGGAGGACGTGTGGCAGGGACGAGGCAGAGAGGCTCTATGAGTGGGTCCTTCTTTGGGGCCTCCTGGCGAGTTCCCCACACGCCCTTTCTGCCTCTCCTGCATCTGGCCTCTGCCGTCAGCAGAAACCACTGGGGCTGGGCCTGCTGGGCCAGATGACCGGGGTGGGCCTCGCCTTGTGTGGACCCCTGCTCTCTCATGCACTGGGGGTTGCCCTCCCCCACGCTCAGCAGCGATGAGAATCAAGTCTCAAGCCCCATGGCCCTCCCTCAGGGTTCTGAAAGGGTCACCCCAGCCTCCCCTTCTCCAGGCCCCTCCTGCTGTAGCAGACCTCAGACCTCTGAGTTTATGTTCCAGGAGCCCTGTGCCCAGTCAGCACCTGGAGAGCTCCTCCCCCTCTCCAGGATCCTCACCTGCCAAATCAGGCAGAGCACAGCTCCCTCCCCTCACCCCCCCCACCCCCACCCTCACCCTCAACCCAGAATCAGCCTCACGCTGTGTTCCCTTCCAGACTGACTTCCTGGGGGACAGGAGTCACTTACTCTCCATCGTGGTCTCTTCGAAGGCTACCTCATTGCTCGGAACACCACAGGGGCTCAGCAAATGTCAGCTGCGCCGGGTGGGAAGGCTTCTCCGCCAGCCTGTGCCCCACAGAGCCATGCAGGCCCAGGCCACTGCAAGAGGAGCGGCCCCCCGAAACGCACGAGCTCTTACCCCTTCATACAGGCACTTGAAGAATTTGATCTGGTCTGTCAAGGAGTCCACCTTGACCTGGAGCTCCACCTTGTTCATGTAGGCCGCGTCCACGTCCTGGGGACACACCGAGGGACCAGCTGTCCTCCCGCCGTACCCTTCCTGGCTGCCGCAAGGCCCCTCAGTGCCCCTCCTCCCCGCCATGCTTCGTGGGGAGTACAGCAGCCCTGAGCGCAAACCAACTCACGCAGGGGTGCAGGGCCCCAGCCCGGAGGCTGCAGGTGCGGGGGCAGCATGCACCCCAAACAAGGCCTGGGAGGCAGGCGCTGAAACGCCCCAGCCTATGGCCCCACTGTGCGGAGCTCGGGGTCCTCTGCCCTCCCAGCCGCTCCCCACCCGCACCTTCTTGAGCACCACGAACTCGTTCTCCGCAGCTGTGCGCCTGTTGATCTCCACTTCGTACCTGCAGGGCCAACAGGAAGGAGACAGCACTGGCCGGAGCGTTCATCTCTGCAGACGCTCCCTGAGCACCCAGTAGCCACCACCGTGCCAGGCGCTGCAGTGGAGGCCCCCTGGAAGGGTCCCCTCTTCCAGGGCGCACGAGCTCGTCACAGGGACGCGACAGGGACAGGTCGAAGGCACCCGTTTCCCGCTCCTCGGGTCATGTGCTGCTTCCCTGCCTCTGCCCCCAGCGCACGCAGGTGGTGACGCCGTGCCGAGCCTGCGGTCCCACCTACTCCACTCCACCTGGCCGAGGACACATTTAGCTCCCGGGAAGTGGAAATGAGGTGTCTGAATGAGGATGGAATAGTCAGGTGTAGGGTGGATATACGCCGGGGACGGGAGCATCGTGATCATTTCATTCCAAGACTTGCTGCTTGATCCCTGTTTTCTATTGCATGAGCCACAGATAGAGCTCTGACGTTTTGGAAAGGCATGTGTGTACACACATGACAATGTGGGATACAAACATCAGCGTGGCAAGGGCAGGTTATAACAATGGTTCTCTGTGCCCCGCCCTCTCTGTCTGCTGGGTGAAGCGGGATGTCCCTGAAAAAGCAGTGTCACTTAATGAGTCCAGGCAAAGCCGTCTGGGAAAACATTGCAGCAATTTGAAAGGTCAATGACTTCATCGACTAGGAAACAAATCCTTTCTGCAAGTCAAGTGGCCTTTAGCGTCTGTTTTCAACAAGAAAGAAAGAGCTTGTTAGAAAAGCTCCTTGAAGAATCAGGAGACATGGACACACAATCACTCAGCTAAGAAAAATATATTTGGAACGTGGGGTGCGTCGCAGGCATTTTGGATCCATCAGCAAACAAATACCCCTTCTCAGAGCAGAGAGAACACAAGAAATAAGTCACTTACACAGCATGCTTACACAGATACTCGTTCTGCTTCCTCTCGGGCCACACGGTGGGTCTTTTAAAGTTGGTTATGACCAGACCCTCCCTCGTGGTACAAGGGTTAAATTGTAGCACTGTGAAGCTGTCTGCAGCCACTGCAGCACAAGTTCGATTCCCAGCCAGGGAGGTGACCCACAGGGCGCGGCAGACCTCTCCTGACCCGCCCGCTGCTCCCCTCAGCAGTGTGTTTCAGTGGACCTGCCTGTTCTGCTCCCCATTCTGTCGTTGGTGAATTCTCTCACCCCCTGCACCTCTGGACTGTACCCCAATTCTTGTATGCATAAATAAATCTTTAAAAAATACTTTGAGGGGAAAAAGACAGAAAAGTCAGAAAGACATTCAAAGAATTAAGTCTCACTGCTAGTGCTAGATAAATTAAAATTTATCTCCACGAGTTTCCTGCCAATCCTGACACATTCTGATAACCCTGGTAGAGCTACAGGATGAGTGTTGTCTCACTCCAGCAAGAATCAATTTTCACGCAAGGATAACTAAGCCAGCGGGGGAAACATCTGTCCATTCAACTTATTAAGAAATGTAATTCTAAAATTATTTTTTACTTTTTATGATTAATAATGATATAATAAAATTAGTAACACATTTCCTTGTTTGCATAACTCAACTCAGTATAACTCTTCAAACATTAAAAAATACCTAATCCCTAGAAAAAAAACTCTCTGAACTTTCAAGTTCCAAACAGATTTGTGGCAGCCAAAGTGATCCACAGAGGAATTTGAGGCATTAAATATATTACTGTGGAACAAAAATATGTGGGAGAATAACTTGAAACTGGAGTTCAAAGGAGGAAAGGATTGTGATCAAGGTGATGATTTTTTAGTTTTTTCATCCACATGTCGTATTTTAATATATCCAAGACAAACATTAAAATTGGTAAAAAAAAAAATTACAAAAAAAAAAACTTTCTTTACATAGAATTTATCAATGAAAGTCCTCCCCAGAAGGACCGTGGTCTGGCACTCGGTCTCTGCTGGCACACAGGGACATCAGCCCCTCGGGCAGCTCCCGCAGCCGGGTGCACTCTTGAAAGCAGAGCGTGCCTATGAACTCCTTAGATAAGCCGTGGCCCTTTACCTGCTGAGGCGCTAGATGGAAGTCACCTAGTACACGTGACACCTGCCACAAGAGGGGTCCCTTCAAACACCTAAGGTCGCCAGGATCACTTTAAATGACCATTTAGCTTGAAAAGCCGTCCTTCGCAACTACCTCCATTTATGACTTTCTAAAACGTCGTGTCATTTTATAAAGACATTTTTTAAAATATTCTTTTAGAATACCTGTGAGAAAATAACTTCCAGACTACCACCAGCGTGTGCAAGGGTGCTCACATCTGCACTCTACCCCCAGGGCCTCACTGTTTTACTGGAAGATAAATGTGCTGAAAATTCTAGCACAGGACAACTTACGATCAGGATCTCGTATGTCCTAGAGAATTTTTTTTAAGTGGCTAGGAGAGATGATGATAAAATTCATTTTGAAAATAGTAAGTACAGCTAAGACTTCTCTTACCCTTTGCTCCATGCTAACTGTCGTGCTAACCTCTTCGCACACTTTAGTCCAGCTAATCTGCATGGAAACCCCCTGAAGAGGGCTCTATTGTTAGGTCCTAGCTTTAAGAAGGAAGCAAGACTTGCCCAGGGTAAAAAAAAAAAGCCAGTCCCCAGTGAGGTTAGGACCAGTCATCCCACATCAGGGGGACAACAGTTTCCTATGTCTGGCACTTGGGTTTTTTTAAGAGCTGTGGCTGTATCACTCCAGGCACCCCCGCTCACGGTGCCCGCAGGTGAAAGGCAGGTGTCACAATCTGAACTGTATAAATATCAAACCTGACGTTCACAGATGACCGAGAGTCACGGAGCCGTGAGTGGGGGTGCTGGAACAGCTGCCCTCTCCAGCCCCGGCGACCCAGGGACAGCACAGCCTTGGGATGACCCTGACCTGACCCTCTGGGCTGCGCTGGCAGCTCCCTCTTCCGCCCAGACCCCTGCTCAAATCCCCACGGGGTTCCAATGTCCATCTGAATTCCACTTGACCTCACTTCCACACACTGGGGGTCACTCTGTGAACCCGTCCTCAGAGCCTCTACATCTTGGAGGTCGGCGCCCATGTCACCCTGTCCCGGCACCCGCATGCAGACCTCACACCGTGGTTCTGCTGTGGGGAGATGTCAGCACAGACCTGGGCAAGCAGACTGAATGAAGGGCAGATCCTCCCCACCCCTCAAACTGCGGCAGAAGGCAGCGCACCCTGGAAATCCTGCACCGCGGCACGTGTCCAAAGCATCGGCTCACAGGACGCCCAGATCTGTCACTCCCCTCTGCCTCTACTTGGAGGGTTTGCTTACAAGTACGTTCTCGAATAACCTCTAATCCGGGGATTCAGGAACATAGATACGCCTCAACTTGTAAATATTTTCAAAGCTCTTTTTTTTTTTTAATAGTTTTAAACTTTGTTCTGGAATTGGTGGCATTTCTCATGTTCTGGAAACTCCCTTTGAAAACCTCACTCAGGAGAAGCTACCCCGCCAACGGGGTTGTCCACCTGGCTTTGAGACAATTCACACACAGCCTCTGCTGCTCTAGCTCCAGCGATAAAAACTAAGCACGCGATCTCCTAGGTAATCTGAAGCAGCGATTTGGATAGATCGTCTCTCTCCCTACGGCTCATCCCATCTGGGTTTTGCTCCCTGTCCAGGGAGGAAGAAAGCCGCAATTATATTGGCAAAGGATCTAAGAAGGCAAAAAGCTGGCTCCAAAGGAAACGTCCCGAGGTCGAGGCCCGCGGCCTGCTCACCTCTTCTTGTAGTCCTCCACCAGGTCCTGCATGTTCCGCAGCTCCGAGTCCAGCCGCACCCGGTCCCCCGACAGCGCCTCCAGCCGCTTGCGCAGGCTGCCGATGAAGCCCTCGTAGATGGGCTCCAGGCTCTTCCTGCAGTTGCTCAGGTCCAGCTGCTGCAGCAGGCTCCACTTGGTCTCCAGCACCTGGTTCTGCTGCTCCAGGAACCGCACCTGGAACCCAAAGGGGGTCAGAGCCCAGAATTCCTATCTGGCTGCCAAGAGCCAGGAGGGGCCTTGGAGATCGCCAGAGGCCACCCTCAGCAAGGATGGGGGACGGGAAAGAAGAGAGTCGTCAGAGGGTG